TGATCACGACTTATTTAAGTAAGTCTAACACCGAATTAAACAACTGGCAACAATAGATAAGAAATGCTTTAAGAGCGGCAGAAAATCACCACAATTGAGGATTGTATCAACGACAAAATTGCCACCAAGCATATACATGCTAAAAAGCACTATTTACTTAATCCAACTCCCCTTTCTATTAGTACTTCGTTTACCGGAATCTTAGGTTAATCAACTTCTACACCTTCTTCTTAAAAACTTTACTATCTCCTCATGGCCTTTTTTAGTAGCCTTATCTAGGTTTTTCCCTGGTTATCAAAGGAATTAACATCTGCATCTCTTTCTACTAGAGAATTTATTGCTTTTATATAACCGCCTTCGGCGACCCAACATAAATTTTTTTAAACCATGACTTGCTATATTAACATTTGTACCTTATACTACCCTATAGTAGACTCATGTAAGGGAGTTGCTCTACTTTCACTTTTAGCTAGATTCTTCGCTTTATTTAAAAGATCTTTTCTAGCAGCCTCATCTAAAGAGGTATTTCATAGTTATTTTTTACCAAGCATACTCTATCTTCCAATTAGTACATATGCTATATGTATAATGCTTTTACAAAAAAGTCAAGATGTTTTCTAGTTGAGATTGTATCTATATCGCGCATTTTTAAATTTAAGGTAGAATGGGCAAATACTGTTAAGATGTATCTAAGAAACGTGTCAATAATAAAATCGCCACCGATACGCTAGTTTGTATTATAATATGGATATCTACCTAAACCAGATCCTCCTGCTATTCATGATAAATCTAGTTAAGTATTAAGGAGACTTCTGTATTATTTGCTAACAGACGCCTTCTTATCTCCATATAACCTTTTTCGACACCAAATATAAGAAAGTTTTCCACCTTTATATATAGCATCAATATTTGTAGCAATTAATCTTTCTAAATCAATATTGATACAATCAGCAATTGCTATTTTTTGGAATCTTTATGCACTAATCTCTACCCCGAAGCACCAGAAAAAGTACTACTTCACTAACTTCTATAAACCAAAATTTAAAGAAGCAAGAAGAAAGTGGTAGTTTACCAGTTAATAAACAAGGAGAAACTCAAATGAAATATTACACATAAGAAACAAAATGGAAACAAATTTTTGCAAATTTGAAAAGTATAAAAGAAATACACAGTAAAAATGAAGATCATCTAAGAAAACTCATGGAATCAGTGTAGCATGTGACACGAAGTGGTTGCCAATGAGGACTTTTATTAGAAATATATGGCAATTACAGAAGTGTACATAAGAGATTTAAAATTGGTATAAAAGGGAATTTGAGAAAGATTGTTAAAATATACATAAGATCCAGATTTGGAAGTGCAAATAATTGATGGGACAATCATTCGAGCTCATGCTTGTACTGCTGAATACAAAAAAGATTCTGGAGCTCAAGAAGCACTAGGACGCAGCAAAGATGGATTACAACTACTCTTAATCAAAAAAATGATATTACACAGGCTAAAACATTGACTGAAAATGTTCAAACTCTACTTTAGTAGCCGATAAGGGTTGCTATAGCAATGCACTCCTCTAAAAAGAAATCGAAAAGCGCGGAGATACTATTACGAATACGTTTATAAAGAGAGGCATTTTATCGAGTATTTTTTTTGTAAGATAAAACATTTTAGGCGGATTTTTTCTCGACTTGACAAGACTGCAGTAGTTTTCATGAAGTTTTTAACTTCGTTGGTGCTCCGTATGGATTGCTTGGATTTTGGTTTGTAGAGGCTAGAAGGCGAAATATTATCCGTTCTTATTTATTATAGAGCATGCATAATACATCCATCTTTGGGATTTTTATTTAACTTGCACAACTCAAATATCTGCTTACTACTGAAGAAAATGGAGTCATTATTAGCCAAAAAAAATTACTATACAAAAATATAGAAAAAAAACCGCTAACATCTAACATCAGAACAAAAGGAACATAAT